GTTATCATAGTAGATATTGATATTTTTGATAATTTGAAATAAAAAGATAGATTTAAAATTTTTTTGATAAAGGGAGTTATTTAAATTTCATTTACATAAAATATATAGATATTAAACTATTGATATTAAATAATAAATAGAAGGTATGTTATCATTTCAATATTAAGATTAAAAGTATTAAAAGAGTTAAAATCAACTAAATAAAAATATAGATAAAATAGTCATTTCTAAGATTCATAATCATGCACGATAAATCCTTACAAATGATTAAAATAGTATCTTTTTTGTTATTCAAATTATCGTTTATATTTCTCTTGCAAATAATTACAGTAGATATTTTAGATGTATGCAAATATATCTATAAATAAATTAGAAGCAAAAATGGTAAAAAATATAACAATATGAATTTTCCAATCATCATAAAATTATCTTAAATAAACTCAAAACTATAAATTATAAATATTCTAGTTGTGATCATAATTAACAATTCTCTACAAATTAATTTAGAAAGCTCAAATGGATATGTAATAGCTTAAACTTGACCAAAAAAATCAAATACATAAATGATAACATAGAAAGCAAAATTGATTATGCTTCTCGATAGTTAATGAATTGGACTACAATTAAAATATAAAACAATATTAAAGCAAGTATTGCATTAAAGCTGTTTAAGATTTCAAATGTATTATTAAATTTATAATTTGGAAATTGCAATGATTCACTGAACAGAAGGTAATGCAAAATTGCTTAATAAACTTTATAGATTCCTAAAGAAATATTCAATTTTTAATGTTAAGCACTTTTTTCTAAATTTTTTCTTCTAAAAAATCTATAAGTTTAAAGTGTTTAACATTATTCTTTTTATGATTAGAAAGCGTAAAAACGAAATTTTAAATACTTTTAGACACTGAGAGAATAAAGTAAATAGGTTATTAATGATGCAATGGCAGAAAAATAACAACTTTTAGCATTAACCAAATAACACCCATTTAAAGCATTTTCTGAGATTTTTTATTCGATTTTTAAGTGATTTGATTTGGAGAAGGACCACCATTTAATTTTACAAATAATTAATCTACCTAAAATAATTCATCACTGGTTATAAAGATACTTTAGTCTAAGTATTCAAAAATTCAATTAAATGTGGTGGAAATTGATATTACATATATTTCATATACGATGCGAACTATAATAAATCTAATAAGTTAAAGAACATTACCTGATAGCAAAGCTAAACTTGATATAATTACCATAGAATATATCATAACATCATTAATTTATACAGCAGAAGTTAATTATTATTTTTTGTCTCAAGTAACACAAAAGGAGCTTCAAGAATGATCTTCTTTAAACCCCTTGAATTTTAAATTCATTAAATAAGATATCTCTTTATATATTCATGTTTATAGGAAAATTAGAAAATTCTGATTCAACAATTAAATAAAATATATTAATTTTTTCTACATTTTTAATAATTTGCTTTTGCTAATATTATTATGGTTTATAAAAAGAAAATTAGCTTTCAAATATAATATTGTGTTCTAGTCAAGCTAACTTTTAATTTTTATAAATAGGATCATCCAATTTAGCTTTTATTTATCATGCTTTGATATCCCATAGACGGAGAGAGTTATTATTACTACTTAAAGCTAATGTATATCCATTAAGAGAGAAAAAAACTAACGTAACGGTTAATTTTTGCCATCTAAATAATAAATATATTTATTTAAAATTTTTTCCAATTACAATCAAACAATAAAGCTCAATGTAAATTAATTCCATTGATTGCAAATTACCTCCAAATATAGAAGTATTTTTAACTTTAATATTTTCAAAATTTTAGTTTGTTAGATTGATCAATTTATTAAAAATTATTACCTAGCTTAGCGAGATGAACTAAGAATTTCTAAAATTCTATAATCCTTACATCTTGCTATATTTTTTACATGATTTAATTATTGTTTCAGGATAAGTTTTAGTGGAATAACTATAATTATTAAAATCATATTATTTGATAATATTGATTAGATAAGCAATTGAATAAATATTATTTTCTATTTTTTTGTATAATAAACACCTGTAAAATCACACATAAAGGATAATTTTAAATAGTTTCTAGGAATGTAAAAAATTCTAAACTAAAGTATTTCTTTGACAATATTTCGATTATAATTTTCAATACGGTATATCAAATCTTTTGATTAAACTAATACCACAACTAAGAACTCTTATATATATATGTTTATGAAAAATTAAAAGTTGGCCCTTTATATTAGAAAAGTGATATAAATCCAAATTAATCATCATCTTTCAAAAAATTCATTTAAAAATTTTATTATCGTTCATCTTAATATAATAATCCTTATTATTAATAATAAACTTAAGTCAATTCTTTCTTGCTTATTGTTTTTGCTAGTTTAGTTCAAAATTGTTTCTAATCATGTAGAAAATTAACTACATATATTCCAAAGTTTGGCCCATAATTAAATATTCTTAAGAAAATGACTAAAGCAAAATTTGAAGCCAATTTCTTAATAAAATAAAATTAAATATAGCTTTCTTAAAAGGTATGCAAGTTTATCTTAAAAACTATTATGCAACGGTTAAATTTATTGCCCTAAATTAACATTTCTTAATTGTATAGAGTTATCCCAATTAACTGATGATAATTTATTACCAGAAAAGTAGTATACTGGCCTGACAGAACTTGTATGGCCATCCAATCTCAATTTTTATTGTCTTGTCTTTTTATCCCATAAACGGATATGTTCTTCATCATCACCAGATGCTAATGTGTTAACATCATGAAAAAGGTATACTGAAAGGACACAATTAGAATGACCATTCAATTTTTATTTCTATTGTCCCTTCTTATAATCTCATAAGAAAAATGAATTATCATCACTTCTAGAAGCTAAAGTAGAATCATCAGAAACTGATCTGCCCTACCTGATAAGAACATAAAATTTATATAATTCTAAGATTCTTTAGCTTTTCCATTTACAACTGAATAATAAAATTTCATTTAAATTGATTCTATTTACATTGATATTTACTAATTCAGGTCATTCAAATTAAATCTTGCTAATTGTTCAAACGAATAACATTTTTTTTATTATAATATCTTCAAAAGATGATTTATTTAAATCAAACTTCAATACATCAAGTAAATAATGTGTATTTGATCCACGTTAGATAAATTTGGTAACTATGGAAGCTTCTAAGCTTTTTTGAAAATCAATTCCAAATGATTACTGCTTGATATTTTTTAGAAAGTAACAAAAGTTAAGAAATTTGAAATCATTATTAAATATTTTATTTGATTTTTGAAATATTCAAAAT